AATATCCCCCAAAATGAAACAGGCAACTGTCCATCAGCTAATGAATGAATAAACAAAGTGTGGTATTCTCAGACAATGGAATACTGTTCAGCCATATAAAGGAATGAAGTGACATGTATACACATCTACTGACATGTAAACAATGTGGATGAACCTTGAAGACATCATGCTAAGTGAAAGAAGGCAGACCTACAGGATTTCATGCTGTGTGGTTCCATTTATGTAAAATGCCCAGACATTAAACTCAGAGATAATGAAGTCTGGCATAAACCTATTAACGAATGTACACCCTGTCTCTGTTCTTAGTCTGCAGATCACTCTGTGCCACGCCTGCCACCAAGCCGGCTCACAAAGGACAAGGTTTTTGAGTTGCAAAAGTTTTGCAAACACTCTTTCTGTTGAGTACATATTAACTTTTCTGAGTACATATTAACTTTTCTGTTCCTGCTACATAAAAGTGGAAAGTTCTATTGATTCGTACTTGCCATTTGAAAACCACTCCAAGAAAGTAATCAGGCCAAGATGACATTTGAAAGAGTCGTAAGAGAAGCTCCTAGGAGGCCAGTTTGATGACCTGGGCTACAGCGTCACAGCAGGAAGTATCCCAGAGGAGAGAATGACGCAGGAGAGGCTGGAGCATGGCTCCCATGAGCTCGGCCTTCCCTGGTGCAAAGAAGGTCCATGTGCATCTCTGGTTTCAGCTCCATGGCCACCCTGAGTGGTCAAGGGAGCAAAGGAGGGAACTGAGACTCGGAGTCGGGCTGCAAACCCCCTGAGCCTCAGCCCAGGACCCCAGCCCCAGTCCCAGCACCTCCCATGCTCACAGCTCTGTCTCCTCCACCCATGGATTCCCACACACCCTGCACTGAGCGGGTAGTTGTGCTCCTCACTGCTGCTGGTGCTGAGGGTGGGTGATGGGCCAGGGGAGCCTCAGAACAGTCCTGGTCATCCCAGGAGACCAGCCTGTCACAACTCCTCCTCCAGGGATGAGCTTCTGTGTCAAGCACCCTGCAGACCTGCTGTCTGTCCCCAGCTCCTCTAAGGTTCAGGTGAAGATTTCAATTTCAGGTGAATGTGGGGCCATGGGTGGGGCTGGAGTCTCAGGCCCCAGCCAGCTTGGTGAGCCGGCCACAGGTCACCTCCTCCCAAAACACACTTCTGCCCCTCAACTTCCAAGAGCTGCACACGTGGGCAACAAGCCGTGGGGTACCAGCTCATCCTACCTCCATGAGCTTGACCGTGTTCCTCTTTCTGCTGAAATCCCTTTTTGGCTCTCTCCTGATCCATCACCCCATCTCAGCACAGCGGCCACCTCTTCCAGGAAGCCTTCCAGGAACTAACTGCCCTCCATGCCTCTTTCAGGCTCCCCTGTCTAGGCCTCATCTGGCTGCCATTGCTCCTGACTGTAATCAGAGCTCTACATTTCCATCTCTTGAAAAACAGGGCCACTTCCTCCCAAACAGGGCCCAGGCTGCCCATCCTTCATATGCTGAAGACTGAATATTTGTTCAAGGATGAAGTCAATAGAGAATAAAGGAGCTTATCTCTGGGACTGATTTACTCATTGAACCACCTTCACATTGCATCATATTGTTCAGTCGCTCAGTCATGTCAACTCTTTGCTACCCCATGGACTACAACATGCCAGGCTTCCCTGTTCTTCACTATCTCTCAGACTGTGCTCAAATTCATGTCCATTGAGTCAGTGATGCCACCCAGCCATCTCATCCTCAGTTGCCTGCTTCTCTTGCCTTCAATCTTTCCCAGCATCAGGGTCTTTTCCAGTGAGTCAGTTCTTCTCATCAGGTGGCAGTCTTTGCAGTCAGTTCTTCGCATCAGGTGCAAAGTCAATACTTCGCATCAAGTAGTAGAGCTTCAGCTTCAGCATCAGTCCTTCCAATGAATATTCAGGACTGATTTCCTTTATGATTGACGGGTCTGATTTCCTTGCTGTCCGACGGACTCTCAAAAGTCTTCAATGTCCTGTCAGCTCAGAAGTCTGTGGTTTTAGGGCCCTGGCCGTCCAGGACACACTGCTCTGTGTGAATTCTCTGTGTCGGTCCCCACTGGCCCCAAGTTCCCCCAGGAAACAGCTGCGTCTCCTCTCTCCTGCATCCCCAGCAGGTAGCTCAAGTCCCAAGAGATGGAAGACTTGTGGTTGATATTTGGTGAATGAGTGAATGAACAAATGAATGAATGTTAAAATGCTAGAAATTGACAAATATTTTAACCAACTTGAGATGTTCAAAAAGCAGATTACTAAGCAAATAGACAGAGAGCTGTCTGTTCTTTGCCTGTGACTGATAAGGAACAAACATTACAGATGAAGATTTCTTGGAGGCTGAATTTCAGGTGATTCTTCCATTCATTGACAAGAGACTTCAAGTACAGAAAAGTCCAGGACTACCCAAGGTCACCTGGAAAACTGGAGCTTACATTCTAGAGAAGAAACTAAGCCAATGTATTATGTCCTTTCAGATGGGCAGAAGAAAACCAACGCAGGGTAGAGAGTGGTGAGGATAGAAGTGGGGCCTCTCTGAGGTGGTGACCTTCTAGTGAGAATGAGTGAAGTGAGGGAGTGTGCCACAGAAGGGTGGCTGTTCAAGCAGCTAACCGCAAGTGCAACTGTCCTGAGGCAGGAAACAGCTTTCTAGATTCTAGAACAGCAGGAAAGCCAGGGTCACTGCAGCAGAGTGTGGGCAAGGATGGTCACAGGAGAGGTCAGGAAGTTGGCAAGAACAGATCAAATGGGGCACTGAGGTTGTGGGGAGGAGGGTGGATATTTTTCTTGAAGAGCTGGGGGCCATCAAGGGTCTCTAGCAGGAAGAGAAAGAATGTGAATTTCCCTTTAAAAGGGTAACAATGGCTGGCTTTGTGGATCCAAGGGTCAGCTCAGACCCTTACTAACATAGATTCTGGGTCCCTCTGAGACTTTCTGAGTCAGAATTGCTAGGCAGGAGACAGCCTCAGGTCCACCAGGGGAATAAAACTGGCTGCCTCCTTGGGGTCTGCCCTGAGCCAGGTCCTGGGCAGGGTCCCCCTGGCCCATGATCACTGTGATTTCCTACAACCCTGGGATGTGGTAAAGAACCCACATGCCAAGGCAGGAGACATTAGAGACACTGTTTCAATCCCTGGGTCAGGAAGATCCCCTGGAGAAGGGCATGGCAACCCACTCCAGTATTCTTGCCTGGAGAATCCCATGGAGGGAGGAGCCTCGCAGAGCTGGACATGACTGAAGCGACTTAGCACACACGCACTGGGACGAGGGATTCTCACACAACCCCACGGAGAGGAGGGAGCGGCCCAGAGAGGTCGGGTGACCTGAGGAAGGTGGTGGGGCCCCTGTGCAGCGGCGGAGGCTGGAGCTGAGCCCAGATCTCCAGGACCCCCTGCACAGGAGGTCTTCCCACACCTGCACCCCCTCGGGAGCTCCCTGCAAGTGCAAGACCAGGGATGAGAAACGGGGCTCAGATGGGCTAAGTCAATCACCCAAGGTCAGGCTCTGGGATAAGAGGATTTGAGGAGGGGTCAGCTGGAGGTGGGGGAGCGGCTATGAGGGTGTCTGATGAGACTGACCCTCTGTTGTGAGCCTAGGAAGTAACGGGGTGGGGAGGGGAGAGGGAAGAGGAGGATGGAACTTGGGTGCCACTTAGAAAGGGCAGAGGGGATGTAGCTGGAGAAGACCCAGCTAATTTGAGACCTATGATGCCTCTGGATTCCAGGGACTGGTGTGCAGGAAGCCAGATCCCCACCCCAGGGGTGGGGGGTGCAAAGAGAGCCCCATGTGCATAGGGGGGAGGTCAGGGCACTCCAGCAGGTGCACAAGGCACCTGGCCTTCTGTCAGACAGGCTGTCTGCTCCATGATCCTCTCATCTGATCAGGAATCGCTCCCCACCAGACTCTGGGCTCAGTCCTGATTGCAGCACCTACCAGCTGCTGGGCCTCAGGCAGCTCCCTCACCTTCCTGAGCCTCCGTTTCCATCTTGGTCAGGTGGGAATCTGTAAACTGCCCCTCCCCGGGGATGGGACTGTGTGATGCTGAAAGGGGGGCGGGATCTTGAGGCATTTGCACAGTGATTGGCACAGAGGACATGCTCTGTGGCTTGGCTCACTGATCACAGTGACTTTTGTCATTGTCACGTCCTTTCCTGCCCCTGCTTCCATACCAAGGACCCCAGAGGATGGAGACCCCTCGGGAATGGGGCTGGCCACTGTGCTCATAGCTGTGGCTCACTGTCTGACTCTGATTAACCAATGCACGTTGATATCATCCACTCTAGTCACCAGGACCCCCAACCCCGGGGTCCTGTCAGGGGAGGACGTGGAACGCATCAGGGGGTGGAGGAGCCCAGCTGGAAACCTGCAAGTAGTTGGTCTCCCAGGTTGGGGTGCTGGGGGGTCAGAAGGAGAGATCCTGGAAGGAGAAAGGTCCAGCTCACCTGCAGGATGGCAGGGTCCAGGGGCTGTGCCAGATCAGGGCTGGAGCCCCTGCAGGTGAGCACAAGGACACATCCCAGGACCTGGGGAGGAAGGAGTGAGCCTTGACCTGGGACCAGAACCCCCGGAAGTGGGCAGCAGGCAGCAAAGGCCCCTTCCTGTCCTGGGCCTGCGCTCCAGTGGGCTTGGTCACAGGCACAAAACCAGCTCCTGGGCCATTTGATGAGTCTGAAGAAGAGGGGCCCAGAGGTGCGGAGGTCTGGGCGCTTGGCCTCGAGGCCCAGGCAGCAGCAGGGCATGGAGTCAGGTGGATCAGGGCAGAGACACACAGGAAACAGTTCTGTCCAAGTAAGGTGGTTTATTGCTGTCAAAGGTCTCGGGGCCTCCTGGAGACCAGGACACAGACTTCCTGTGCATGTAGAGCCCCCAGAAAACTCACTGTCACCTTCCCAGAGGTGAGCAGGTGGGGACAGGCAGGGTGGATCCTCAGTGCCCAGAGGCCAGGCTGCACCCAGGGACCCACTCTTTAGGGAGGGGACCCACAGCTCAGAGCGGAGCTCTAGGCTTGACTGGGGTTGGTGACCTTCCCCAAAAAGATGATGCTCTGGGTGTCTTTGAGAACTATGGCAATCAGGAAGGGCCTGTTGAAACGCACAATAGTCATAAATGCGGACCTGGGAGAAAGTTCCACTCCCGTAGCAGCAGCTCCTTCCGTGCCCTCCTCATCCACGTCCAGCACAGCGCTGTGGACCACCTGTGGGGACAGCAGAGTATTACCGACGGGAGACGGGGTGGGCAGGAGGTGAGAAGCTGCCTGAGCGCCTCTAAGGGGGACTGATATTCATCCACCTTCTGCTGCTGGCCTGTCACTACGCTTATCTACCTGTTCAACTTTGTTTTTCCCAACAAACCTGTTGACCGGTTCACATAGACGTTACCCACGGCTATGCAAAGCAGTCAAAGGATGTAAGTCCTGGGCCCACTGTCAGAGAAGCATAGAGCAGAGTCTCCCTGATATGAATCCCCTCTGTCTGAGTCCAGAGACTGTGCTGTCCCCCAAACACTCCCTAGTGCAGGGGGAGGGGCCAGATAGAGGCATTTTTCTTGCAGGGAACCGTCCACAGTACCTCCACATCAAAGCAGCAGATGGCGAGCACTGCTTTCTGCTCCTCTCCTGCCCCAGCTGACGTGTCCCTGAGCCCTCAGCCACCTTGCCGAGGATTGGCTTCCCGTCCCTGGACCATGAGGCTCCAGAGCACCTGTGCCCCCTTCACCAGGTCCTCTGGCCGGTGGGGTGCAGGGGGGACTGCAGGGCTGCCCAGCTCCACCCCTAGTCACTCTTGAGCTCTCTGCTTCTCAGATCACAGTACCATGACCCCTGGTGTTCTTCTCTCCTGCTCTCGTGTATATTGATTATGATGGCCCTGGGCCACTGTTAGTACCCACTACCTCTTACCTGCTCTGCTAAGCACTGCACAGGAGCCAAGAACTATCACATGTCTTTTAAAAATGACAAGGTTCGGGACTAAGGGCTTTAATAATTCATCCCATAGGCAGTAAAAGGTGCATCAGGGGATGGGGGTTTACAGCTGATTCCACCTCAGGCACACTCCCAAGACTGATGTCCATCCCAAAATATATTACCAAGAAGGTAGAACCAGCCCCCAAGATGGTTATAACCCGGCTCCCCTGGGCCAGAGGATTGCAGGCAGGGTAACTGAGGAATGCCCTTCACATTAAAAAGCAAGACATCACTTTACCAACAAAGGTCTGTGTAGCCAAAGCTATGGTTTTTCCAGTAGTCATGTATGGGTGTGAGAATTGGACCTTAAAGAAGGCTGAGCGCCGAAGAATTTGTTAGGTAGTTAGAATAGGGAAAAGGAGTCCAGAATGGCGGTGGCTAAAAGACCTGGAAGGGAAAAGCCCGAGAAAATAGAACAAAGGAAGGTCCGAGGACCAGAGTGAGAACCTCAGGTAAAACAAACAACACTCCTGGCTGGCCCAATTTACATAAGACAGGCCCAGGGACAGAGAAACATATAAAAAGAGGAGCCAAAGCCCTCTTCTCTCTCTCTCTCCCACACGATGGGGCGCTCTTCTCCTCGCATCTTTGGATCGACGTGCCCTCACACCTTGAAGATGGATTTTCCTGCTATTATCTAAATAAAATAGAGCTGTGACACTAAGCTGTAACACTGATTTATTTAAGAGCTATAACGTGGTCCGTTCAAGACCCAAGAGCTATAACACGGTCTGTCCAAGACCCGAGAGCTGTGACCCACCTAGGGGGGCTTTAATGTCCGTCACTCCAAATTTTTGTTGTGACAAGACAAAGAACCGAGGAGCATACATTCGCTTGACAAATTGATGCTTTTGAACTGTGGTGTTGGAGAAGACTCTTGAGAGTCCCTTGGACTGCAGGGAGATCAAACTGGTCTATCCTAAATGTAATCACTCCTGAATACCATTGGAAGGACTGATGCTGATGCTGAAGCTGAAGCTCTTATATTTTGTCCAGCTGATGAGAAGAACTGACTCATTGGAAAAGATCCTGATATTGGGAAAGATTGAAGGCAGGAGGAGAAGTGGATGACACAGGATGAGATGTTTGGATGGCATCACCGACTCAATGGACATGAGTTCAAGTAAACTCTGGGAGTTGGTGATGGACAGGGAGGCCTAGTGTGCTGCAGTCCATGGAGATCTCAAAGAGTCGGACACGACTGAGTGACTGAGCTGAACTGAACTCATCTGAGTAATGAGCAATGTAGTTGTTTTGCAAATTCAAGATTACCCAAAGGTCTGCCTGGCTGTCACCTTTCAAGCTCCTATGTGGAAGATGAAATGTCCAAAGTTTAAAAACTCACCTGGGAAACTCCTAAGTCCATGACATCTGTGATTCCTGACAGGTCAGCCTCTGCGGTAAAGACTTTCTGGATGCCCAGCTTAGAAAGGATGTGTGGCAGATTATAGTCACTGGAGATGGAAAACTTGGGCAGGTAGAGGGTGTCTATCAAACTAGGAAGTGAGAAAATAAACTTGATGGCTCACTCAACTCAGTGCTCACCTTTCTCCCACGTCTCAGCGAGGTCTTCCTTGGTTTCATCTCCATCCACCCCATTCTCCCTGGAATAAGTACTCCTTTCCTCAGTTTCTAGATTCCTCGGGCTAACTCTCTTTAAGTCCTTAATTATGCATTCCTGTCTGCAGCAGTCTCACCTTCAGGGTAGCGTGCCAAGGCAGGGGCTGTGGGCTTGCCCCGCCTGGCCCTGCTTCTCCCCTGCAATCCTGCAGGGCTCAGGAATCACCCTTCTCCAACACAGATTCCACAGCTGCTGGGAGACCGTGCTGTGGGTAGGGGGAGGGGGAGCACCGGGAGGGATGTACCAGGGTCACCAGGAAGGCTTCTTGCAGGAGGTGGCATCCAGTTTGAGTCCCTGGGGAGGGGAAGGAGTGGGCTGGGTGAAGAGGAGGCCACAAGGCAGGTGGAGGCACTTGCAGGAAAGAGGGGCTGCTGCAAGGTGGGGAGGGGCTTGGCAGGGACAGCAGTGGGACATGGAGAGCTGGGGGCTGCATTCAAGGGTTAGGGGGACCTGAATCATCCAATATTCAGAGTCTCTGTCTTGCCTTCCCGGTGAGTTTCTTGCGGGCAGGGTTGCTGCTTCTGAGCAGAGCTGCCAGCAGTTTCTTGGAGTAAGAGAAGCTGTCCCCCACCCCCAGGTTCCCTCCCTTTCTCTCTGTCTGTACTTCCGTTAAGACTCTGACCATGGCGACTGGTCTGACAGATGCTAAATGTGAGGAGACTGAGGCTCCCCTTAAACTCTGGCTCCCTTGTAGCAGGGAGGTAGTTATTCCTCTTCATTGACCTACCTTCTTTCTTGCTTACATTCATCCTTCCTCCCTCCTTTATGCATTAGTCAACAAATTCCTACTGAGCATCCTTTATGGGCGAGGAGTGTGTAGGTCCATGTCCCCTCAGGGCTTGTAAATCAAGGTGTCTGGTGGATATCCCTTCCATTTACCACTATTCACTGCACCCCTGCCCTGTGGTAGCTGTTGGGGTTGGAGGGGGAGGGGTTGGGAAGGAGCACAACCAGGGGGAGGGGGTCCCGTGTCCTGGGGTCTCCTGGGATCTGCAGGGAGGAGGGGCTGGGAGTCAGGAGCCCCAAGGCCTCAGGTGCCCTGGACAGGAGTCGGGAAGGGGCTGCAGCCTCTAGGTCACGTGCAGGCAGGTCTCCAGTCCCTGTGGTTTATAAAGTGCCTCCCACACCCATCCCTCATGGGTCTGCAGATCCTCCACTCAGAACAGAGGGTCAAGGACATCCCTCCCCTCTCAGCAGGGAGCTGAGCCCCAGAGAAGCACAGAGGGTGGCCGGGGGAATGTGAGCCTGGGAGCGAGACTCTGGGTGGGGGGCACCCCGCCCCCCCATGCTGCCCACACCCCCTCCTAGCCCCCCCACTGCAGACCCTGGGTGCAGCCCTGCCTCTCCCTCTCCTGTCCCCCTGAGATTGGTCTCCTGAAGCCCACCTCCTGGCCTGTGTGTCTACCCTCGGTTTACCCAGAGCCCGACCCCTCCCCACACTTCCTGCTCCTCTTGGTCCAGCCCCCAGCGACTCCTCTGGGTGAGCCCACTGGGCTCCCGGCTGGCCTCCCTGCCTCCCTGCTTGTCCTGTGCTGTCTGATCTCAACTAGGCGCCCTGGGTGATTCTTCTAAAGCATCACTCAGATCTTTCACCCTTTGACCCAAAACCTTGTGATGAGTTTCCATTTCCCTTAGACGGTGGGGGAGTCAAGGGGTCTGTAAGGCCCCAGGTGACCTTAGTCCTCCCCGAACTTTCCCTCTCGCTCCCTCTGCTCTCCTGCTCTGGCCTCACTAATCCTCAACCATGCCAGGCTCGCTCCTGCCTCAGAGGCTTAGCACTGGCTGTTCCCTCGGCCAAGAATGCTTTTCCCAGCACATCCACATGGCTCAGTCCCTCATCTCAAACACCACCTAAGGGCCCTCCTACTTACAATCACAAAATACCTCTAGGTCCAATTTTCTTTATTTGTTTTTGCTTTACTATCCCTGTCTTCCCCTTTCTAACCATTCAACACACCAAGTTATTCATTACATTTATTTCTCATAGGTCTCTCTCAATCACGGAGTAAGCTCACGAGGGCAGAGAATTTACTGTTCTATCTGCTGACCTACCCTCAGAGCATAATTAGTCCCTGGCACACAATAGCTTCTCAATCATCCTGTGAAACCAGTGCTGAAAGTTTGGTTAAAATATGAGTGAACGTAATATGTAGCCCGTGCAAAGCTGATTCTTGGAGTCTATCTCACAGTCCTCAGCTGATACAATTCCATCTGCTCCCCCACCCAAGAGGGAGACAACAGCCCACATGTTGTGGATCCTTACGACACAGCACGTGTTAGTGTGAGAGGAAGGCCCTGTCCCCTCTGATGCCATCATCTTACAGAAGGAAAGAATCAGGCTCAGAGCCACACAGGCAGCACAGGGCAAGGATATCTCAGTACAGGCTCTCCCACCTCTGCCCCCAGGCCTGCACATTCCTAAGGCCCTGTTGCTGGGGGTCAGGAGTCCAGGAAGAGGGGGAAGGACCGAGAAGGCAGGTGAACCCACAGCTCCGGGTCCTGTTACCTGGGCTGCAGTGATTCTCGCCACCTTGTCAGCGTCTCTGGGTTCAGCTTGGCTTCCAGGTCCTGCATTTTGCCTTTGTCAGGGAGGATGAGGAGGGCGCTGTCGTTGCTGGTATACGTGAGCTCCACCAGCGTGCAGCCCAGCTCCTCGTCCCGGAGGTAAGGGGTCTCTAGGCCCCCAGTGCTCATCATGGGCACCTCCACCGTCTTGTTCTCGCTCACGTGGAACTCTGCCTGCTGAGTGTGTTTGGGGTCAAAGCGGGTCTTCCACTGGGCTGGAGGCGGGGGGACAGGTCAAGAGTCTGTGAGTATAAGGGCTATGGTCCCTCCATCCCTGGCCCTGTTCTCTGAGCAGGGAAGACCCTCTCCACGCCAGCAGCCCCCATATCATGGACCTCTATGATGGGCCTGCTAGGTGTGCACATACACCTGGGCAGGTGGTAAGCCTTTGGGGACAGAGGTGAGCCCTGCAGGTCAGGATTGGGAAGCGGGATATGAAACAAAGCAGGTTAGTTGTGCTAAAGGCGAAGTCAACAGGAATGTGGAGGACAACAGAGAGATGGGGATGAGGCCGAGGATGGGGAGATATGGGACCTCCTGGTCCTTTAAGGGGGCATGTTAGTGACCAGGGGTTGGTCGTTGGCTTTGTAGGGAGGACACACGTCCCCACAGCCTCGTGAGCCCGGCTGGAGCAGGAGCCACACGGGGACCTGGAGGGCAGCTCTCCCATGGGGAGAGGCAGGAGCAGACAGGGAGTGGGGCTGGCCAGGTGCCCCGGAGGAGGCGATTTTAGAGGAGAAATTCCCAAGATGGAGTGGGTTGGCAGGAGAAGAAAGCATGAAGTGAAGTGAAGTCGCTCAGTCGTGACCAACTCTTTGCGACCCCATGGACTCTAGCTTACAAGGCTCCTCTGTCCATGGAATTTTCCGGGCAAGAATACTGGAGTGGGTTGCCATTTCCTTCTCCAGGGGATCTTCCCAACCCAGGGATTGAACCCGGGTCTCCTGCATTGCAGGCAGACACTTCACCGCCTGAGCCACCAGGGACACAAATACCAAAAATGGCAGGTCACGCCTGGATTCCTTTTCCAAGGAAATGCCATCCCGTGCCTTTATTTACAGATGAAAACGCAGATGAAGGAAGGGTAGCCCTGGACTTGGCCAGGAGCCCCCAACTCTGGGTTAACTTGTCCGCCACAGCTAGGGTCTCTTAGATACCTGACCATTTCATGATTCATAGGTAATTTTTTGTGCCTTATCTATTTTCAGTCCCTTTTGCACTGTTGGCTCCCTAGGTGAAATCTTTCTGCCTTCACTCTGCCTCTTATGAATTTCCTGGCTGAGGTTTGTCATAGCAACTTGCTATCAATGGGACTGGGCACTGGACCAGCTAGAATCTGGGAAGACATTGTGCCCCAGAGGGAGTTTCAAGAGGGAGGGAACATGTGCATACCTATGGCTGATTCATACTGATGTTTGGCAGAAACCAACCCAACTCTGTAAAGCAATTATCCTTCAATTAAAAAATAAATGAATTTTTAAAAAACGAAGATATCATGGCCCAGATATTGCCCAACCCCGAGACTTTCCCCAGATGTGGTCTTGCCTGAGGATAGCAGAAGCGCACCACTGAAGAATCTTGAGATGGCCAGGCTGCTCAGAGGCTGTCACACTGTGAAGTTGGCCACCAGCCCCACTTCAGCCCCCAGAGACCGATCCGTTTAGAGGGTGCCCTCGTCTGACACAGCCCACAGTGTCCAGAGCAGAGGCCTTCCTAAGCATGTCCTAAACTGTCTCATCAGGGAGGAAACTGGAGTCCCCATCCCCCACAGATAGATCTGAAAGGAAAGCTCTCCTTCTTTTGCCAGGCAGGCAAGTTTAACTCAGAATAAAAAAGTCTCCCTCTAGGAATTACCTGGCAGTCCAGTGCATAAGAATCCATCTTACAATGTGGAGGACATGGGTTTAACCCCTGGTCAGGAAATAAGATGACACATGCCTCCAGGCAAAGTCAGCATGCCACAAGTACTGAACCTGCCTGCCACAACTGTAGAATCTGCCTACTACCACGAAAGATCCCATGTGCTGCAGCTAAGAACTAAGGTGGTCAAACAAATAAATTTAAAAAAAAGCATCCCTCTGCCTCACATAATGTACTCACTGCCCTACAATGAGAAAAGCAATCTGGAAAAAGCGAAAATAGACAAAGACTATGGTCGGGGTGGGCCTTGGTGTTTAAGCCCCCCAAGCCACGAAGAGACTTCTCTATAGGGGTTTGCTGGCAACACAGTTGGCTGAGCCAGGATAGAAATGATCCTGAAGCCTGAGAACTATATATGCATCTTCCCCAACCGCAATCCGGCCACCCACCTTTAAAGTAGATGTAATTCACCAGGATGATCTTCGTGAGCGGGTCAAGGTCCTTGAACAAGTCCTCAACTTTCCCCTGGGTTTTATTCTTCACATAGTCGTTGATGAGCTTCATGGCGGCGTTGGAATCGTTGAACTCGGTGCGGAAGGCCTGGGAGGCGTACAGCGCCCGGGCATCTTCCCTGAACTTGTCCAGCAGCTTCAGCTCCTCCTGCACAAACATGGCGTTGCCCACGCTCAGCTGCAGCTCATTGCTAGGTCGATTGAGCGTCTGCAGGAGGTGCTGGAAGCCCTGGTGGATTTCTGTCTCCCGGGTCTCTGTGAGGTTGAACTTGAGACCTTCCAGGATCTCCGTCAGGGTGGAGCCACGAGCCCCCAAGGACAGGAAGCCCAAGGCTATGGAGACACTCAGAGGGGAGAAGATGACGTTCCTACTGGGGTTCTCCAAAGCCAGCTGCTTATAGAGGCTGAAGGCAAAGTCGGTGCTGCTGGAGGCTAATGTGTGGTCATCCACAGATGCCCCTTTGTGCTGTTTTTCAGGGGTCATGTTCTCTGGGAGGCAGTGGACACTGGAGCAGAGTCCAGCCAAGAAGAGCCCGAGAGCCAGGAGGGTAGACATTCTCTCTGCCCTCATGTCTGAAAAGCAAAGCTCCTTTCAGTCTCTGCGTGTTAGATGATGCCCCAACCCCCACCAACTGTCCCCCGTTGTCTCTGCTCTCTTGGACCTGCTGCTCTGTGACCTCCCAGGGGTAGGCATCCTTCTGGGCTCCCAACACACATGAGGGGGCTCTGGGCTCCCTCTCACCTTTGACCAAGTGCTGTGATTGGTACCAATTTCCCTGGTGGAGAGACTGGGCAGAGCGGGGAAGGGGCTTTTCCAAGGTCTCACAGCAAGCCGTGGAGGAGTGAGGGGGAGGAGCCTGGGGTGCCTGGCTCCAGGGTGGGGAAGCTGCTGATGGGTGTGAGGTGCTGGCCAGTGAGAACCCATCTCCCTCCCGGGAGCTGACACTGTCAGAGGGGCCTGGGAAGCCGGGTTCCTTTCCCACCGTGCCCCTCTCTGTCCCCCCAGGAAGGAGCCCTGCGCTCATCAGAGGACACGGCACCTCTCCCCACCTCTGAGGACAAGGGTGTGACCTCAGGGAGGCTCTCCCGTCGAGGTGCCTGCTCACAGTGAGGGTTCAGGAGAGAGGCTGTGCAGGCAGCAGGAGCCGTGCCGGAGCCTGGCTGCCCTGAGCAGGGCTGGTGCAAAGAACGAGGAGGGCAGAGTGTTCTGCTCAGCCCTGCCAGGTGGACACGTGGAGGGTGTTTCCATCAAGAACCTGGAAAGGACTCCCAGTGAGGAGAAGCAGGTGAGCTCAGAGTCTCAGACCTGGTTGAGGATTTCGTTTGGACCACTTGTGAGTGCTGTGTGGTGACGAGCAGTGACTGAACCTCTCTGATCCTCTCTGATCCTCAGTTCCCACTTCCGTCCAACATGTGGAACAGCTCAAGTGACATACACGATGAAGGTTCTGGGCTCCTAAGAGGAGTTCCAGAGGTGTCACCCCGTCCACTAGTGACACTTTCTAGGACTCAACAAGCCAGACTGTGATCCCTGGGGACAGAGATACAGCTTGGAAGCCTCAGGAGAGACTGAGGTCAAAGCTGGTGACCTCAGCAAAGAGAGCTGTTTATCTGTAGCCTCTGACCCCTCATTTCAGGGTTCAGAGGAGAGAGGGCTGCTGGGGTGGTAAGGGTGGAGGGAAGGAGAGGAGGAGGCGGAAGGGAGGAGCCTGAGCTCAGTCTCATTTGGAGCCCAGGGGAGAGGCCTTGGGGCAAGCCTGAGGACAGAGGTGATCAGTTGTCCCAAAAGTTTGTTTATGCAGAGCTGATACAATGGTTTCTTTCACAAAGAATTAAACATTTCCCTCCAAAATTCTTCCTGGAGAAATAGCTAGCCAGATGGTGGTGGCTCGGATGGTAAAGAGCCTGCCTGCCAATGCAGGAGACACAGGGAATGCAAATGCGGGTTTGATTCCTGGGTCAGGAAGATACCCTGGAGGAGGAAATGTCAACCCACTCCAATATTCTTGCCTGGAGAATCTCATGGACCAAGGAGCCTGACATGCTACAGTCCATGGGGCCGCAAAAGTGCCCATCACGACTTAGAGACTAAGCAACAAAAGCAGCTTTGGGCTGGGCTGAAGGGCTGGCTCTGTTCCTGAGCCGTCTGTATTCAGTGCTGGGCAGATGCAGCTCCTGTCTGCTTGCTGGGGTCAGTGGAGAGATAGTGGAACCCAGGAAAGCCCCCTGAAGACCCTGCAGCCTCTGCCCAGAGGGATCCACTGCACTAATTCTGTCCCCAGGGCTCTCCCCCTGTGCCAGGCAAGGAGACGCACCTCAGGACCCTCGGAGGAGCTCTGACCTGATGCTTGATGCACAACTGGATGGGGTGCACAGCTGGCTCGAATCACAACCCTAAAGATTCAAAAGCAGAAATGCCCCCAGAAGCCCTGGTGGCACGTCCCTCCCTTTGCAGGATGAACACTGAGACCCAGAGGGAGGACTGGCCTTCAGAGGGCTCAGAACCCTCCAGGATCGGACACACATCCCTCCGCCTCCCTCCTGCCTCAGGTTCTACCGACCCCTGACCGAGGCCAGAACCACCCTGGGAAAGGGGTGCCTTGGCTCCCAGTGTGGGAGCATCACGGATTACCTGCCTGGGAGTGTGGGATGTGGACAGTGGATCCAGGGCCGCCGCCTGCCCGGATGCTGGAGTTTCCCAGGTGCTGCTGTGTATTTATCCTGCAAAGCACTCCTCCCAGGCTTGTGAAATGTAGGCGGGGACAGCACAGTGTTCTGTTCTCTGACTGGAAATTCACAGCCTACCATTTCCGGTAACAGGGTTTATTAGATCTGTTTGAACAACCTAGTTATAGAAACCACTCACTTTTTGTCCCTCCCCACCAGAAAACCTAAACTAAAAATAAACAGAAATTCCCCTTGAGAGTGATTTCTCCCATTTTAAGAAAATTCATTGAGGAGTGTGTGAAAGCTCACGTTGAAAAATATCTCTGACTCTTGTTCTTTTTAAAAATATATATGTTGACTCTTCTTAGTATTTTCCCCCCACTGTTTGTCATATCCTCATTAAAGACCATGTAAAAACCCAGTAAATGGAAAGGAGAATATTTGAAAATATTCCCCAGAGCTGTGTCACTCTGGGACACCTCTAGCTAGCACTGTGTTTCTTCTATGAATCACTGGTCTTGATGTGTATGTGTGCAAGTGTGGGTATGTGATCAGGACCCGCAAACACAAACTCAGACAAAATTGAAATGCAGGACCCTTTATGTGAATATAGCTCGATTTGCACATTGAGACGCTCCCCCATTCCCAGACAGGGCTGTCCCGCCCAAGAGTCCGCTTAGAGTGTCAAAAGCACAAGTGTCTGGGACCTCTGATAACTGGTACCATCTGTCTTTGGGGGCCTGCTGTGCTTTCGTTTGTCAAGTTGCCTTTCACCATTGGTTCACTTCAAGAGCCGGCTGTCCTTTATCCTTGTCCTCGGGGTCTCCTTAGATACTCTCTAAACTAATCTCAGGCCTTGTGCTCATGGGGAAAAACCTGCCCCTTCATCTCCTACACTCACAACCATCCATCCATGACAGACCAAAACAAACCTCTGTTACTCCTAGGAACTCCACAGAACTCAGTTTGGAGATCACTGTGTTAGTGGTAAGAATGTGGCTTTGACAGAAGATAAACCTGAATCCTGAAAGTCTACTCACCAGCTGTGTGACCTCAAAACCTTTATGGAAACCCTTCCACCTTCATCTTCTTGTCTCTAAAGGCAGATGCATTTCCCTGAGAAAGGAGGGGTGTCTGAAAAGGTTAAGTGAAATAATTCTAAATGTAAACTCTGTTAAGACAGGATTTTTCACTTGTTTTGTGCTGTGCTGCATCCTTAGAGAACTTAATAAACATTCATGGACTGTAAGACACTGAGGTGACCCAGGAGAGTTTGATCTCATCTGTCTGAAATGATGTGTCCTTTCAGGCTCCATATTTCCAGAGTTGATAACATAAGTTACACACAATCCCTAAGAAACAGTGGCTGAAACGAGGCTGCAGTGTACTTCCCTCTCATGTAGGTCCAGACGCATGCAGTGTCTGCATGTGGACATGGTGGTTCCACCTTGTCAGGGACCCAGGCTCCTTCCAGCCTGTTACTCTCTATTACTCAGGTTTGTTGCCAGGTGGCCTATCGCTGTGTCAACCTTCCAGTTAATGGGAAGCAGGGAAGGGAAAAGCACAGCCTTTCCTTTGAAAGAAATGTCCTAAATGTTGCCTATTCTATTTCCACTTCTGTTCCATTGGCCACTGCTTGGTCACAGGGCCACAGCTACATTCTACACTGTGTAGCCATGTCCCAGCTAAACATGCAGGATTGCACTACTTTGAGAGAAAATGAGAATGGACATTTTTGTTGTTGTTGTTCACTTGGCCAGACCTGTCTGACTCTGTGACCCCATGGACTGTAGCATGCCAGGCCTCCCTGTTCCGTGCCATCTCCTGAAGTTTACCCAAGTTCATGTCCATTGCACTGATGATACTATCCAGGCATCTCATTCTCTGATACCCTCTTCTCCTTCTGCCCTCAATTTTTCCCAGCATCAGGGACTTTTCCAGTGAGTCAGCTGTTTGTATCAGATGACCAAAATACTGGAGTTCCAGCCTCAGTATCAGTCCTTCCAATGAGTATTCAGGGTTGATTTCCCTTAAGATTGACTGGTTTGATCTCCTTGCTGTTCAAGGGACTCAGGAGTCTTCTCCAGCACCAGTTTGAAGGCATCAATTCTTCAGCATTCTGCTTTCTTAACTGTCTGGCTCTTACAACCCTACGTGACCACTGGGAAGACCATTGCTTTGACTGTATGAACCTTTAGCAGCAGAGTATGTCTCTGCTTTTCAACACACTACCTAGGTTTGTCTCAGCTTTCCTGCCAAGAGGCAAATATCTTCTGATTTCAAGGCTGCGGTCACGGTCCACAGTGATTTTCGAGCCCAAGAAGAGGAAATCTGACACTACTTTCACCTTTTCCCTCTCTATCTGCCATAAAGTAATCAGGCTAGATGCCATGATCTTTGGTTTTTTAATATTTAGTTTTAAGCCAGCTCTTTCACTCTCCTCCTTCACCCTCATCAAGAGGCTCTGTAGTTTCTCTTCTCTTTCCGCCAGTAAGGCGGTATCATCCACATATCTGAGGTTGTTGATGTTTCTCCCATCTGTCTTGATTCCAGCTTGTAACTCATCCAGCCTGGCACTTCTCATGAAGGAGTATGACAGGGCTGTCTGCTCTGTTCGTTTAATCTATACGCTGAGCACATCATGAGAACGGACATTGCGCCTCAGTGCTAATATTGACCCATTATTTTCCCCGCGTGTTCCCAAATTCTCTGGCCTCAGGAGAGCCATTATTTTCGTTAAGACTGAACTGACTTAGTCTGAACTCCGGTTGATGTAAAGCTAAAGAATTTACCATTTTTCTGAGTACCGCTGAGAATGCTTGTGTGGGGCTGACTTGTCCTGGGTGCCCTCTGTCCCTTGGAGTTCCAGACTGATGCTCCAGACTAGTG